TCGCTGATGAGCTAAGCAGGAGAAAGCTGCAGATTCATCCCTACTCATCCATTGGCCCTGCTAATTAGGCAGAAACACTGGGGGACAACTGGTTTTCTAATAGGAAGACAACTATCCAACATGGTCCTCACTAGAAAGTTATGTAAGGAGTTGGGTATCTTGCCAGATACGCCACTTAGCCCCCCGGGACCTGGAAAGAGACAAAGTAAAATTATAAATTACTTCCCCAAGAGGGAGGAATGCATGAGTGAACAAATTGAACCAATTATTGACGAAGTCACTCCTCTCCCCCTTACTTATCTTGACCGGTCACATTACTTCAAAGAGCTTCAACACAACTCTGGAAACACAAATTCCCCAAGAAGCCTGGCGCAAGAGCTAGTTCTAGCTGAGAAACTTGTGGAAAATATTTCTGTCACCTATAACCAGCGGCCCCTGGCAGAATTAACAACATGCCACCAAGACCAGGCGCCCACTTCCAAATATACTCAAACTGAACTGAGTGATGGCCATCTTCAGGCCCATTTCCAAGATATAAATATAGACCTTTCCAACATAAAAATTACTTGACAATAACAAATGGGTTATTGCTGACCCTTGTGGAAAATTTTATTCCCCAACCAAAAGAGACAACAGCAACCGATGCACCCCAAGTGCATAAACCAGATGAACTTGTGCATAACCCAGATGAACTAGTGAAGATGAGACAAGCAGTAACAACCAAGAAATTCCAAAATATAGATCACAAGTCCGGGAAAAGAAAACTAAGAACATTAAAACAACAAGGAAAATAAAGATAAGCCGACATAAACAATGGCAGAAATTATTTAATCTACTCCCATTGGACTCAAATAAATCTGCTGCACGAGATAAAAAAGAGAATGGCAGGAAGGGGAAAAAGAAGCAATCGCCAAAGCTAATGGCTAAGGTGGCATCTCTGAACCAGAGTTTAGAACTAAGTGGGAGGACGGAAGCAACGTCCCAGAGTTCTGGTAACAGTTCACTCAGTGAGCCAGATTCTGGGGGAGAAGTGGTCCCTAACAATGAAGGCAGCAAACCGCTTAGCAAATCGGGAAACGGGGACGATGCAATGCCCAATCGCGATGACAACACTATACAAGATGGGCAAACCTTTACTCAGGCAAGATGTTGGAACCTGATTTTAAATCCCTCAATATTAGTATTTACAAACTTCCCAAAATCAAAGGGTTTCCTTACAGGGAAAGAACGAAGAATGAGCTCCTTGAACGTTCTGAATGATATATTGCCAGGAGCAGTAAAGCCATATGACATTATTTCTGTAGATTATTTGCATCATGATGGTTGTTCAATGAGAGCAATGATCACATTTAGAGACCAGAACCTGGCCAAGTTTATCTACAGATCAAGATATATATTCTTAAAGGCCCAGATAAAAATTCTCAGATTTTTTGAAAACAAGGCACCACCGAATCCCCTTCTGGAAGCCAAGCACGCAAACCCTAGTAAGGAGAAACAACCTCCCAAAACCCGGCCTGGTCTCCAGAAACGAGAGCTTCAAAAATTAAAAAGGAAAGATGCCCACCTGCAAGACCTGCAACTTCAAGAGAATGAAGATGAGGATCTTTTTTCCGCGGAAGAAAATACCTTAATTAGGCAATTTTGCCATTTTCCATCTCCAATACAAGCTGAAATATTAGAAAGATTGGATATGCTAAGAACTAAGCTGGCTGGGAGAGATATAAACAAGGAAATCAATATGGACGCCCATAAAAAGGACCAGACTTCCTATAATTTGAACCCTACACAAGAACAAAACCCAGCGGCCTGTCGGCCATGTTACCTTCAGACAATGGCTGAGATTAATTTACCCCCAATTAAGGAAGCCCAGCACACTGAAGAGAACACTACACCACCTCCAATAAGGAGAACCATCCCGAAGGTGAACTCACCAGGCTCTTGGGACAAGCTGAGGTATCTAGATGAGGCGGAATTAGGCCACAATCAGGTTCCGGAAAAATACCTACGGAAAGAGATAACACACTTCAAAGGCCCGGTGACCACTAATGTCAGTATTCAACAGTCAACAGCCGAAACTATAGAACATTTGGCTAGTTTGCCATGTATGGAGAGCAATGGGCCGGCTCATAAAAAAGTAATCCCTAAAAGCACCTTGGGAAATAATTGACAAAGATCAGACCAGAGACAAACACCAGCCGGCTCCCTATCTCCGCGGAAATCCGACATCACTAGATATGAACAGACTCAACCCTCACTCACAAATCAAGCAAAAGCAGTTGTTTCCTTGAAAGACGCACCCAACCCACCCCAGAGCCTTAAAATTGTCTCCTGGAATGTTAACGGCTGGGCGACAAAGCAAATGGATCCTGAAGCAATGAATTTCATCTCTTCTTTCGACATTGTATGCCTCCAAGAGACCTGGTCCCAACAAAGTATTGTTCTCCCAAATTATTGCTCCTTTAGCTCCTGTGCTCGTAAACTAACCAACAGGGGTCGCCCCCAAGTTGGCCTCGCCTGTCTTATTTCAACCAGCTTATCCCTCACTATTTGCGAGGAAATTAAATCTTCCCCTTACTTTCTCACCATAAAGATTCATCTCCCAAAGACCAAAAGCCCATGGTTGATAACTACAGTATATCTGCCCCCAGCAATTAATGATTTCGACCGCAATGAAAGGTGGTCTGAACTTTCGTCTTGGCTCCATGATCTTCAAACAACTAACCCAGGACTCCCTCAAATCCTCTTAGGCGACTTTAATGCAAGAATAGGTCCCAACGACGATGATATAATATCTCCCGCAGCACTCCTGGACAATCCCCTGCAGCCCCCCTGGGGAAACAGATGCTCTCTTGATCCTATAACAAATGCGTCGGGAGGCTGATGGCCCAACTGGCCATGGAAAACGATCTCTGCATCGCAAATGGTAACATTACTCCCTTGTCCTCGCGGCAATTAACGTGCATCACTTCCCGGGAACCAGTGTTGTCGACTACATTTTATTGACGCCGGAGCTATTCTCAATTTCTACAAAAATGGAAGTGGCTGAATATTTTGGTGGTGACCACCTTCCATTGACTCTAATGTTAAACCTAATAGAGCCACTTCCAGTCCCCTCAAACTATAGAACCATGGTACAAAGCCACCCTGTATACAAAACAAAGAAATGGACAAGCCTCAGCTCCTCTCTTGCCCTGGACATACAAAAATCATTTGATATGTCTGCAGTTCCCTCTGATCCAATCCTGCCCGCTGACCAATACCGGAAATTACTTGATGCTTTCTCAACAACTTACATAACCACCACCTCGCCTACTTACCAACGCCTCTTCTCTGAATCGCCCTGGTTTGACAAGGAATGTAAAGCCCTAAGAAGGCGAATTAGGAAAATGGTCAGAATCATCAAATCTTCCAACGACCCCCAAACCCGTGCAAAGCTCATAGATATTAAAAGGACATATAGAAACATGATTCATTGCAAGAAACAGCAGCACATCCTTGAGGCTTGGTCCACTCTTCGTTCGGCTGTAGAGAGGCATGACTCCCGCTCCTTCTGGCGCCTAGTTAGACCTTCGGCACCATTCAATCCAGCTACCCAGATTTCCGCTGATGAATGGATTGCCTATTATTCAACTAGTTTCGCTTCTCCAAACCATCTTACAGATCTCCTTCAATCCCCGTCGGACCTCAGTTCCTGCTCTCTTAGTCCCACTTCTTCAATAAACTTTACCTCAACTCGCATTTTCAACATCATAATGTCAATGCAAAGGAATAAGGCCCCGGCCCAGACATGGTCCCGTTGGACCTTTTCCTGACTGATCCTCTTTGGTGGAGCGAACACCTGACTCCTGTATTCACCGCTATCTCCTCCGCCCTAGACATCCCTGACTCCTGGAGAGAAGCTATAATAGTTCCGATCTTCAAAGGCGGCCAGCCAAACATCCCTAGGAACTATCGCCCCATCAGCTTATTATCCATCCCGGGGAAAATATTTGCCGCTGTTTTACTGGAGGAACTTCTCTCATGGGTCCAGGAGAGGAACATTCTACCGCTAGAACAGATTGGTTTCCGAAAGTCAGCGTCAACCATGGACCATTGTCTAACTCTCTATCACCTTGCCAGTAAATACACTGCTCCAAGGCAAGGCCACCTATTTGCCGCTTTCATGGACCTGGAGGCCGCCTTTGATTCCATTCCTAGGCAGAGATTATGGTCCAAACTTGCCCATCTGGGAATTGATCCGCACCTCCTCTCCCTAATTATCTCCCTTTATTCAAACACCACAGCTCGCGTCCGAACTGGTCCTAACGGCTCCCCACTACTCCATTTCCAACGGCCAAGGGCGTCCGACAAGGTTGTCTCTTGGCCCCTTTACTGTTTAATCTCTATCTTCATGATGCAATTTCCACTTTGAAGCTAGCATCTAAGTATCCTCCTCACTTAGCAGGCCACCCCGTTGCTTCCCTTTTCTATGCTGATGATGCCGTCATCTTATCCAGAACAGTTGCGGACCTAGCAAATGCAGTTAATGCATTTATCGCCTATTGTAAGGCGGAAGCTCTTAATATTAATTATAAAAATCGAAAGTCCTCCACTTCACTCGTTCCCGCAAACTCAAGTTGGAGCCGCTTAAGATCACAGGTGGCTACTTAGAAAAGGTAAAAGCCTTTAAATATCTAGGATTAATATTCACCTATAATCTCTCCTGGACCACCCATCTACAATCTGCCTTTCTCGCTGCAACCACGACCTCTAACGCCATTGTCCGATTTTACCACCAGAAGGGCGGCAAACACCTTCCAGCAGCAATTCAAATATTTAATGCCAAAGTCGTCCCTAAATTATTATATGGATGCGAAGTATGGACTACAGCAATATCAGGTAACCTGGATCGCCCACTTCATATGTTTCTGAGATCTCTTTCCGGCGTCCCGAGATGTGTCTCAGGTGCAGCCCTACGACTCGAGTTCGCCCAGCCTTCAATTGTTAGACGAGCATGGAGTCGAGCCATTTCCTACACCTTCCACCTATTAGCATCGGATGCTCGAATTAGAGGTGGCTTTTCCAATCTGATCCTAAGAGATATTCATAATTCCCCTTGGAAAACTACAATTAACCTCAAATTCCGCTCTCTTCTCAATTTGAATTGTAAAACTGTTCTTAACTTAGAGTGTATCAGCCCGGTGGCCCTACCCCTAATTAAAAGAAACTACAGCAACTTGACTTCTCCAACACAGCTTCTTGTGCAAGAGGACCGTGTTCAGGCCTAGCCCTAGCTATTCCACCCCCTGAAGGGATCCCTCTATACTGCTTCACAATTTCTTCGGAGACTAAGCGAAGGGCCTTTACCTGTGCCCGTCTCAACTGTTTCCCTACAGCAGTTCTGTCGGGTCGTTATTCCAGAGTTCCCATCGCAAACAGAACATGCTCCTGTAATGACACGGCCCTGGAGACTATGGAACATGTAATGCTCTTCTGTCCCAACTGGACAGATGAAAGATCTCGGTTTTTAACTCCCCTCGTGAATAAGTTCCATCTCCCAATCCAGCCTTGGATAGTGTCCCTCTTTTTGCAGGATTCTGATTGTTGGATTACCGAGATGACAGCTAACTTCCTGCTTAGTGTGATGAAGAGGAAAGCGGCACTAACTTCTTCCTTAACACCACAGCTGCAGTCGATACGCCGCACAACCGAACGAAGTTCCAAGTAGCCTTATTGTACAAGGACAATCGAGTTAGGACTAATCTGAGGAGCTGAAGGACCCTTCAACGGTCCTCCTCCAGCCTCAGCAGTTTTTGTTTTGTTTTTTTTTTCACTTTTTTTAAGTATTCGCCCAGGACGATATCTACCTCTACCTCCCCACCCCCATTTTATGTTGTTATTTCAATGTATATCATGCTATGGCCACTCGGCTAATGCAATAAATCTATGTTGTTGTTGAGGTTTCAGTATTCCCCTGAAAAACTGGTGATTGGTTGGAGGGTCCAGACTGGAAAGAATAAAAGGGCAGGCTGAGCAATGTTGGGGACAGTTGGATACATGGTGGGGGGAATATGAAGAGATTCACTGAATCTCAAGCAGCAAGATTTGAGATAGTCTGAAGGGGAGAGCAGCAGCCACAGTGGGGTGGGGACAACAGCTGGCATCCAGAGGTGGGCAGAGAGAGCTAATGGTTTATGGGATAGCAATCTCTTAAAGCTAAAAGCACTGAAAGAAGAAACAGAGGGAGAGAAGATTTTATTAAGAGGGAGAACTGAGGCCAGAGTGTTGGAAGTTGCTGGTTAACCTGAAGAAACAGCTAGTCGCTGGTCAGAGATAAGAGTACTAAGAATTGAAGTGTGTGGGGGAGAGAAACCTGACCATGAAGAATACTTCTGTAAAGTTCTATGTGATTTAACAGGGGTGTATATAAAAAAGTTCATTGTCCAATGGTTTAGTACAGAGCTGGGAACTAGAGCAAGTCTCTAAATAACCTCATTTAACCTCTTTAAAACAACAGCAACATCTTTAAGCTATTATCAAGCTATGCGTTGTTATAAAACCAATTTGCAAATAACCCTTATTCCATCAATTTAAGTAAGCGTTAAGAAATTATAATATTTTGGTTTGATTTCCAAAAAATAATAATAGTTTCCTGGTCCCTTTGTCCAAAGCCTATACTCAGCTGTCATATGCAATAAAAGGATAACAAAGGCATTTTTTTTTAATGGTGGCAGTAGGAATATAATAGCCCCAAGGAACGGTCTTCTCCTAACTATTGTATTAGTGGTGTTTTGTGTTGTATTGTTGTACATCACTCTGATTTTTTATATATATGGTGGTATAGAACTGCTTAAATAAATAAATAAGGAGTAGGTGAATACAGTGGTACCTCTGGATGCGAATGGGATCCGTTCCGGAGCCCCGTTCGCATCCTGAAGCGAATGCAACCCGTGTCTGCGCGTGCGTGGGTTGCGATTTGCAGCTTCTGCGCATGCGCGTGATGTCATTTTGAGCATCTGTGCATGCGCGAGTGGCAAAACCCAGATGTAACGCGCTCTGTTACTTCCGGGTCACCGTGGAGCGTAACCTGAAAACGCTCAACCTGAAGCACATTTAACCCGAGGTATGACTGTATTCCAGTTTTAGTCTCTCTCTCTCTCTCTCTCTCTCTCTCTCTCTCTCTCATTCTCTCATTTTTCCAGTCTGAAATTCAATTCTCTACATTTTGCAATTTCCCGTTTCAGAATCTCATATGAGAGAATGAGTACCTGAAGATGTCTGTGTGGCCTGAAATAATTCACGGCTACCCTAGTATGCCTAAGATAGACCAACATTTGCTTGGCCCTGAAGGAACATGTTTCATATTCCTAGAGAAGTGCTTCAGTTTCCTTCCTTGAAAAATTCCAGAGCAGGCTAAAGAACATTGCACTAATCTAACCCCATTTATTAAAATGAAAGCATCATTCAGTTGATTCTGAGCATTGAATGGACGACTATAAAAGCTCTATAATAAAAAATAATATTCTTCCATTCATCTTGATTAATGCTTATGTTTACATACCTTTTCTCCATTAAAGTATACTGCAGGATGGGGCGGGGGGAAGCATGCACAGCACATCATTAATCAGGTTGTCACGTAGACAATATCATGACTTAGACAAACCTGACTACAAATCAGATTCCTTCATACTTTGGGTTAAAACACAAGAGTGTCATAGATTTGCAGAGATCAGTCAACTTGACGGATGTTGTTATGACCCATAATAATGTTGTCCATTACATGAGCTAAAGAGGCAGTTGCATCATTTATAAAAGGCATGCAATTTGTGTGATGGTAGTAGTAATGGTGCACAGTAACTCAAACAAATGAGTAGTGTGATTTAGGGAAACCATCAAGCAACTAATAAATCAGCAATACAACCTTTAATTCAGAAGCCTGATTTGTAAATCAGTCAGCTCAATTTTAAACATGCATGATTTATATAACAATCTGATGATTTATTAAGGTTATTGGTTGCCCTGTTTTGAAAATTAAAATAAAAAAGTTACCAAACACTATAGAAAGATACAGAAGACTAAATTTTAGGAAGTAACGCTGAAAGTTAAATGTACAATAGTTGCATTCATATATGTAAACAAGGATAGCACAGTCTTTGGCTGCAGTTCATTTCTGGGCTCAATTCAAGGTGCTCACATTAGTGTATTAAGCCCTAAATGACTTAGGCCTCAGATATATGAAAGACCATTCCCATCCCTATCAACCTCTTGGTAGTTCCGTCAACCTTAGAAGTGTGGGGAAGGGTGATGCAGAAGGTGGCCCTAAATTGTTCAACTTCCTCTGTAGAGAAGTGCATCTAGCATCTTCATGGAACACTTTTCACCATATGCTATTTACTTTGGCCTTTGGCAGTGAAGGTATTTTGCTGTTTGTGACCCACCTCATTTATTGAATTCATTTTGCCAGGGCTTTTTTTACAGCTGGAACTCACTGGAACTCAGTTTCGCCACCTCTCAGGTGGGCGCCATTGCCATTCTAAGAGAACAAAGGAGGTGTTCATGTTGAGTTCTGGCACCTCTTTTTCTAGAAAAATAGCACTGCATATTGATCTGTTCCATTTTGAAATGGTTTTATGCAGTGCCTTTTCCCCTTAAAAATGTTTAGGGGTACCCTTATTTTCCTACTCATATTGAAATACTGCCCCTCAATGAGGCCAAACTTAAAGTCACAAAATGTTGAGGGGTATGCGTACCCCTACGTCCCCCCAGAAAAAAGCACTGGTTTTATGTGTTTTTAAATTGCAGTGGTTTTCATCTGCTTTAATATTGTGTTTTCTGGTGGTTACAGTATAACCTGCCTTGGTAAAGGGTGGGTAATCAATCTTATAATGAGGGATGCGGGTGGTACTGTGGTCTAAACCACTGAGTCCCTTGGGCTTGCTGATCAGAAGATCGGCAGTTCGAATCTGTGTAATGAGGTGAGCTCTCGTTGCTCTGTGCCAGCTCCTGCCAACCTAGCAGTTTGAAAGCACACCAGTGCAAGTAGATAAATAGGTACTGCTGCAGTGGGAAAGTAAATAGTGTTTCTGTGCACTCTGATTTCTGTCATGGTGTTCCATTGCACCAGAACTGGTTTAGTCATGCTGGCCACATGACCTGGAAAGCTATTTGTGGACAAATGCCAACTCCTTCAGCCTGAAGTGAAATGAGCGCTGCAATCCATAGTCGCTCTTGATTGGACTTAACTGTCCAGGGGTCCTTTACCTTACCTTATAAAAAAATGAATGAACTATCATCTGGGACAAATGTGTAAGTCACTACAGTGGTGCCCCGCAAGACGAATGCCTCGCAAGACGGAAAACCCGCTAGACGAAAGGGTTTTCCGTTTTGGAGGTGCTTCACAAAACAAATTTCCTATGGGCTTGCTTCGCAAGACGAAAATGTCTTGCGAGTTCCTGCGGGGGGTTTTTTCCTTCGCCCCCCTTTTCCCCAAGCCGCTAAGCCGCTTAACAGCTGATCGCTAAGCCACTTGTCAGCTGATCTACTAAGCCCGCTAAGCTGCTAATAGCGCTAATCTGCTAAACCGCTAATGGGCTTGCTTCGCAAGACGAAAAAACCGCAAGACGAAGAGACTCGCGGAACGGATTATTTTCGTCTTGCGAGGCACCCCTGTAGATGCTGTGAGGTCTATCAGTATAAGTGGCTCGCTTTTTAGAAGAATCCGATTAATGTGGAAAGCACTGAAGACGTTAAAAGAGCACCACTAGTGGGGAGATGCAATGCCATCTCCTCACCAACTTCCACAGTCACACACCACTGAGCAAAGTTGCCGCAAGCTCTTTTGTGCCTAGCATGAAGTTTCTATGAATGCTTACAGAAGTTTTTCTTTTATTATTTTTAGATCCCAGTTTTAAAAAAAATATTGCAGATGCCTGCAAAGTCAGATAAAAGCTGACTCACATCTATGTGAACCTACAAATGTGTCGTCTACAAATAGATGACACATTTGGTCTATACAGGGGCATGAGCACGCATGCGGGTCATGCACACCCTTGTGTGTGCATTTGTCCATGCACGAACACTTCATCCCCCCTTATTTATAGTGATGCTTTCCAACCATAGTGGTAGGTGGTACTTCTGCTGTCCCCTGCCCTCAATTACTACTTCCCCATCCTCCATTACCTCCACTATTATTTTTAATATCAACTGAGCATGTGTGCAAGTATTTCTCCAACTGTGTGAATGCACTATGGATGTTATATACATAGTTATAAGGCCTGGTGTGTTTTACATTTTACTTTCTGTGTAAATTCTGCATTGCTTTAAAAATGCCAGTAGGATTAGATTTTGATCTAATCTACGCCAGCATGAATAAGATATTATTCCATTTCAGAATGGAATGTGTGCTGTGGTGGCATTCTTTCACAGCATTCCTTGTGTGTCCTCAACACAATATTTTAACTGAGGCTTAGCATCACATTTGATCCAAATTCCTTTCCATATTTTAATTCCATTGAAACTAACTATAATGTATTCAGTGAAACCAGGGGTTGTGTCTTTAGCATTTCATGCCATCGACAATTCATTAGAAATCCCAACAGAAATCAGACAGCATTCTGTCTTCAAAAAATCTAAAATAATGCATAATATGACCCCCCAACTGATTTGCCAAAGTAACCCAATGAATAAGGACTTCCGTGGTTTGGCATTAAATGAATGCACTGCTTTGAATGCTATCCAAAAGCTTCCTTGCACATATTTTTTCAGAAAATAAATGAATAAATAAATGGTCCCATAATGTAATCAGATGAGATCAAGAGAAAAGACACCAGCACAAAAGAAGATTAAAATTCGGTAGAGCATTAGTCTCTTAATATCAGGTTTGTGGGTTTGAGCCTCACATTGGGCAAAAGATTCCTGCACTACAGGGGTTTGGACTAGATGACTCTCGTGGTCCCTTCCAACTCTACAATTCTGTGATTCTGTATTGAAATGAGAGGTCTTCCACAGCATATAAGGAAGAAAAACCCACAATCAGCCAATTGCTACTTTCACACTCAAGGTAATGTGAACGTTATCATCCCTATTGTAACATTTTATTTGACATTCAGTAATATGAATTAAGGGACGCGGGTAGTGCTGTGGTCTAAACCACAGAGCCTAGGGCTTGCCGATCGGAAGGTCGGTGGTTCGAATCCCCGCGATGGGGTGAGCTCCCGTTGTTCTGTCCTAGCTCCTGCCCACCTAGCAGTTCAAAAGCATGTGCAAGTAGATAAATAGGTACCGCTCCAGCAGGAAGGTAAACGGTGTTTCTGTGCGCTGCTCTGGTTTCGCCAGAAGTGGCTTAGTCATGCTGGCCACATGACCCGGAAAAACTGTCTGCGAACAAACACCGGCTCCCTCGGCCTATAGAGCAAGATGAGCACCGCAACCCCAGAATCGTTTGCAACTGGACTGAACTGTCAGTCGTCCTTTACCTTTAATATAAATCAAAATCTGCCACAAAAGTAATATATTTGACATGTTGAATTACAATGCTATCCACATGCTAAAACACACACACAAACATGAACGATGTGTGTTATGCATTGAACACGTTAAAAGGGCAATGCCAGAAAACATGGAGCATAAATCTAAGTTCCTTAAAATGATTGAATAAATCACAATCCCGGTGAACAGCGGAGTATTCATCTGGGAAAAAGAAAATGTAAGTCTGTACAACAACATTCTGTAAAGAACTAGCTCCACAAAGAACTCTGGATCCCACAATGGTAGCTAATCTTATGTCATTCATTCTACTAGATTTTGGCACCTGAATCTTTTGGCGTACTGGTCTTTTTTAATATTCTGCTTTAAAACAAAATCAGAATGCTGCACTAAGGTAATGCACATTTTGTGCCAAGGGGAGCTGATTAGTGCCACCTAGATATGTAATTCGTGTGCAACATGTTTGCTCATTGTTGTTTCTGCAAAGTTACTCTGCTTCCGCCTGTCTTGGCTAGGTGCAAAGAACTGTGAAGGCCATTGAAGGTGCTTCCTCCACCCACTAGAGATGTTTTACAGCTATGTACTCCAATCAGTGGCTTCCAAGCTCTCAGCAGACATCACCACTTTTCAAACTTATCTCTTCAACAATATGGCCTGGAAACATCTTTTTAAAAAGAAAAAGAACAGATGTAAACTGAGCTTCAGCATGTTGACTTATGCACTCATCATTTTGACAGTTCTGCATATATACTTACGGTGACCTTTTATGATGCATTAACTAAAAGCAACACTTTCCCTGCCTACGTTTAAGAAATTGCTACTCTTTGTGAACCCCTAAAGAGATGCATGGCAAAATGACACTGTACAAGTTTTACACTTCATCACTTCATCAGAATAATAAAATGCAGCAGCAGGCTTTCAGCCAGTATTTGCTCTCCCAAGGCTACATCTCCCTGCGTTGCTGACTCATCTTCACTATTAAGTAGATGGACACAGGAGCTCTTTATTGTCAACGTATTATCAGAAACATTTAGAAGCCACTTAAGAAAGGGCAATAAATTTTGAATTTCTAATTAAAAAAATGAGCACGAGGCTTCTCAGAATACGGAATGTGAGAGGAGGAGATCACTTGTTTTAATGGTGCTCATATTTATGTCCTACTTTTCTGGCTTGCTAGCACTCCTTTATTGCTTGAAAAAGAAAAACAAGGTGAAGAGGGCTCCGTTTACCTGGAATCCTACTGGGTATGGCAGCAAAACAACATCAAAGAAGTGCATTTAGACAGAGAAATGTGATGGAAACACACTTTATTTTTCATTAAAGTGGGATTGCTCTGCTTGTGGCTTTTTACACATTTGGATGCAATGGTCATACACCTGATATCCTGGGATCTTCACCTCTCCATTCGCAATTAATGGAAATTCGGTCATTCACTGCCCTTGAGATCATATCCAAGTCCTTTAGAAATAGTAGACTCAAGGCCTTCAGAATTGGAAGCTTGTCCATGTAAAATCCAGCTTACTAGGAAAGATCAAAGGTCTATGCTGCCCAGCACTTGTCACCTGCAGCATCATTGCCAGCTGCTCAAGAAATATGGGATCTGCTATAAAGATGTGGCAGACTGGTCTCAGTTCAATTTTGAGGTGAGCAATCCTAATCAAACAATAGCACTCCTTGAGGTGGGCTTGATGTTTGAAAGAATGCAAAAAGAAGCTTTCTCTCCACCCCTCTCCAATTCAGCAGGGTACACAAAGGGGGAAAGTTTACCTTGGGCATCATGATAGGGTAAGCAGGCAGAGGCTCCAAATGCAGTATCAAAGAGGCTCTGTGGCAGCCTATTGCCTCTTCCTTCCACCTAAGAACAAGTAGATACAACTCTCATCAATCCCTGGTGGAAAATCTCTACCCACATGATCCCAGGTGGAAGGACATGCTGCAATGTCAATATACTGGCAATATTTTGTTCTCATTTCAAATAAGCATTTCTTGTAACACTTCAGGAGCCACCAGCTGCTACCCCATCCTGAACCCCCTGGTAAATTTTTCCTTATGGGGATCTACACAGCCTGGCAGGCAGGGATGAAAATAGACTGAGACTCACTCAAGGTGGGCTGTCCTACCCACCCAGACAAAGAAGTTGAGCAGGAGTGCTTACCTGTGAATACAGAGGTGGCCACTGAAGGGATGTCAAGGGCAGTCCTCTATCTGAAGGTGTTGTGTGTTAGAATGGCTTTCTTGTACAAGCCCAGTGTAAATATAAAGGACCTCAAGAAGAGAGAGCAGACACCATGAAGCTGCCATCAATTGTTAGCACCTGGATAAGAGAATGAGTAGAATCAGGTCACCTGGCCACAGTCATTTCACCCAGGTGAAGAAAACAAAACTTTGATAAGAGCTGTTGATTTGGAAATGAAGCAGCTCAGATGGGGAGCTTATATAGGAGCTAGAGTCTTAACCCCTTCCTGGCTTTCAGTCAGGTCCTAATCTGAGATGGTATTTCCCATTAGCTTCCCCTTCCTCACCAGCAGCTAATTAAGCACTTTGATGGTGGTGGTTCTGCTGTGTCTGCCTGGCTCACCACTTCCTCTGCTCCTGTAGTTATGGGGTTGGCCAGTTAAGAATACAGCCAGCTGGTGTGGGGACCGCTAGTCCTGGGACAAGTCCACATCTGATGGCTTTCCAGGGTGATGAGAAGTGTGGAGACTTGCTAGAGGGTCCCGCTCCTCGTCTAACGAGACCTCAGGGTCAAGCTCTGAACCCTATCAGCAAAAGGAGCTTGAACAAAGGATGGGAGGGAGTTTTGAGGGAAGAATATAAAACTTTTATAAGCAAATTGCAACACACAGAGAGAGCACGCACACACAAACTTTAGGACTTTCATGAAATAATCACCATAAGGTTCTGGGTCACTGCAGCGGTTTAGGAATTTGCAGTTAATCAGATTTAAAAGAGTACTTGTTAATTGGTTGAAGGCTATATAAATGTAATAATGATGGTAGTGCTGTTAGAGTAGGCATTCTCTTCCCTTAATGCCAGTCTCTTACAACAACGAGAATGAGAATAAGCCAAAGAAGAAGAAGAGAGGTTATCATACAAACTCAAAGAAGCTTATTAAGCAAGGTACTACTCACAAAGGACTAACCGGAGGTACAAATTTATTACATGAAATATTCAAAGACTGAGAGCACTGTGGGCAAATTCCACTTAACTCTGTAATTTTTACAGGCCAATATTCTTTCTTCAGAATGTTACTTATGTAATAATTCTCCCAGTGCCCCACTAATGATTTTAGAATATTGGTTTTTTAAATACTTACTAAGCTATTTGGGTGATTTCCTAAATATTAGTTTGCTAAATTATCTACTTTTATTCTTTTTCTTTTTCTGGGACAGCACAAATGTGGAACCAGAAAATAGGATAGCTGTAGTAGTGCAATCCTATACACGACTCCTCAGAATTAAGTGACACTGAATGAGGATTACATTCAGGTAAGTGGTGTTAGGGTCTCCCTCCATCAATTCCTTTTATTTATCCTCTTGAAAGGACGTCAGTTGAAGGTGTGGGGAACCTGTGGGCCTCCAGATGGTGTTGGACTGCAGCTCACATCAGCCTCAGCCAGGATGGTCATAGGGAAAGGATGATAAGCGTCACTTTCAACTGCTCTCACATTCCCCTCTGGGCATGTGGGGAATGTTAGAACAGCTTACTGAAGGGAGATGTGATACAACAGTGAGGTGGGGGCTGTGTGAGTGGGATGGGACCAATGGATTGGCTTCAGGAATATGCCCTTGCAGCCACAATTTCACCGCTGCCTCATCCTTCCCCCTCTTGGTGAATGGCAGTGATGCTGCTGCCAGAGGCTATTGCTATGGCACTGGCCCACTGGACATTCTGTTCCTGTGTTAGGTTGATAATTTAGGAGTGGCTGGATGTTTGCAGACCATGCTTCGTTCTAAGTGTAGAACCAATGAAATGTGACAAGAAAAATGAAAAGTGAACAGTTTCCAAGACTTTACAATCTCAAAAGATTGTCAACAGCAACAGAATAGTAGCACAGTAGGTGCAGAACAAGTTCTTGTTTAGTAAAAACAGCAAGAGCGAGATGTACAAACACCAGGTTGACTTCTACCCTTGGCTATGCTCCATGGCCCAGTGGTGTGCCAATCACCACAAAGAACTGAACAACCACAGCAAGATGTCTAACGTTCCGGCTTAGGAAAAGGGACGGATGCTGCGGAGCTTTAATAGTGAGCAATAGCAAACACAACAGGGAAACTGACACTGATGATCTAAACATTGAGAAGACTGCTGGGGTTGGAGTGAACTGTTGTTCAGTCAAGCTCACAACTTGTGAAGTTGGTGTGAAACAGCAGCACTATTCAAATACTAGAGTGAGGAGGAGACCTACAACTTGCAGAAGAAGCATTTGGAAAGAACAGCCTGGGACAAGAATTAAGTCTGGGAAAATGGTGACTATGTACTGCTTGACCCCCACTATACGGCTGCAAATAGGGTGGGAAGCTGCATTCAGATTGTGAAGAACTGCAACAAATCCAAATTCTCTGGCTTGTGTATAACACACATCGTCATTGAAAGCACACAGTTGTGATGGACTCACATGTAAAAAAAATTGTACAGGTTGTTGTAAAGACCCATTGTATGCAGCCTTGTAATAGTAATTAAATCCTATCTCTGCTGTTCCTGAAACTCGAGCACATAGTCGAGCTCTTAGGCTCCCTGACTCAATTCATTGCTACAGCTAATGCAAACAGAGTATGTCCTGCCACTCTACATGGTTCATTGCTAATGAAAAGGAGTTGCCTAACCTCTTGTAAAATTAGTAGTTACACTAATTTTAATCAAATCAGGAATTAGCTAGTCTGATTTATATTAACATAAGCATGCAACATGGGTATGCCATCCCCAAAACAGCAAGTGGAGCAGCGCCCACAGATTTCATGTTCTCAGTAGTAACCCAACAGCTAGAATAACGTGTTTATTGATTCGATTGATTTGATTTGATTTGCATACTGTTAAGTTGTGGGTGAACATATCAGACGACACAGGGATTCTTCAAATAGCTCTTGTTTATTCACAGGCCAGAACAGAACTGAACTGAAGGGTTCAGCAGGCCTGCTTATATAGAGCTCCACTAGAACGCAACAGTAACCAATTTCTGTAACTATCCAATCACTGAATGTCACTTTCAATCCCTTATTTGCATATGTGGACCTGAGTGAAAACTATCTACAGTATCCCCCTGCTGGCCCAGGGTGAGAACTTCAGTACATAACACATACCACCCTTCATCCAAAGATCACGGGGCAGTTCACAACAAAAAATACAAAATGAGAACACAAAATAACAAGGCTTAGCCAAAGGCCTAGTTAAAGAAAAACATTTTCATCTGGCACCTAAAGATATGTAATGAAGGTGCCAGGTAAGTCTGGCACTTAGGCCATCAGAAACCAGCCCTTGTAGGCATGTATCCTAAAATCAAGGCTTCTTGCTATACACAGTAAAGCTTTTGCCATTCCTTCCGCCTACAGCCTCAACTCATCTGTGCCCAAGCATTTGGAGTTGGAGGGAACAGGAGGAAGTTCTGGTGTGTACATAGAAGCATTTATGTCACTACACGACTCTGAGCCTACTTACTTGGGTAGAAGATCGACTGAACATAGTGGAAATACAGCCAAGTAAACATACATAAAATTGGACCATAAGAGCCAGTGTGGTGTAGTGGTTAGGTCACTGGGAGACCAGGACTTAAATCCCTACTTGGCCATAATGCTCACTAGTGACCTTGGGCCAGTCATAATCTCTCAGCCTAACCTACCTCATAGGGTTTGTTGTGGGAGGGAGGAGGCTGAGGAGAGGGAGAGCTATGTATACTACCTTGAGCGCCTTGGAGGAAAAAGTGGATTAGAAATGCAACAAATAAAGCAGTAAATAAAGAAGGGGTTTGCTCACATGCCGTTGTACATTCATTCATTTATAATATTTATATACTGCTTACTGTCCAAACAATAAATGACCAGCTTTTTCTTATTTCTAACAAGATGGTGCAAGATAAAAGGAAATGTCTTTGCTATGTATTTCATTCTGCTTATTTTCATCAGTAACCTCTTAGAAGAAGTCACTCTGTGATTGACTTGGACATTAAAAAGTCTGCCAGAAGACTTGATATACCCTTTGTTAAAAGGGTGGAGCTGTCAAATATTCCGCTCGCAGTCTTTCTATTCTGCTACATAGAGACTGAGGTGGTTGAGCTGCCAAAGGCTAGACTTTCAGTCCTTGGTCATTCACGATCCACAATTTATTTTTTATTGTGTTATAATTTCATCATGTTATGCATCTCATTACGACCACGTTGTGGTCCGACTCTTCATGACCCCATTGACCAGAGCACGCCACTAATTACGATCACTAATAACCACCAATAAACAAATGTAGCTATAATACATTGTCCAGTCACTCACAAACAAACAAACAAACAAACAAACATATAACCAATTACATGTTCAGAAATAGCTCTTATTTATTTATTTATTTATCCAACCAGCATTTAATTATATCTTGATATCATTCACACTTCTTTTGTCACTGACATTAAATCTACTATATATCAGCATCCAAAGGCTCTGCATTAGCAGTGCTCACATTGGATGGTATTTGGCTCAAATTAGCAGCCAAAATGACATATTAGACACACAGTCAGTTTTTTGACAATAACTGGCAACTGACATGCTGTACATATCAACATTCAACTGTATCTGATAGGCAGTATTCAATTTTTTTTGACATAACATGACCTTAGGCTTTCAGTTGACAATCCTTATTTGACAATATTTGATAAGTGACATGCAGCAGCAGCATTTAAAAGTATATGACATGCAGTAGTCAACACCTGAGTATTCGTGAACTTATTTATTTATTTTAGAAGCATTTATGAACCAAAATCTCTAAGCAGAATACAATATTAAAAACCCAAACAGCATTATTAATAGAAAAATACAGCCCAAAACCAGTATAAAAGCAGTATAAAAACATGCAAAGCATATAAAACCAACTAAACAGGGTTCAGTCTTATGGGTGTGGGAAAACCTGGGCAAAAGGGTAAGCCTTTACAAGATGTCTGAAGCAAATGTCGATTGCTGCTTTACATATGACAGAGGAAAGAGAAACAGGTAGTATAGGGATCACAGCAGAAAATCCTCATTTTTGGGTCACCACCCTATGATATTCTGTAGGGTGCAGTGCTACAAGTAGAATTTCCCCAGATGATAAAAGTGAGCTTATAGGTCTGTACAGCGACAGGTTTTTCAGGTATCCTTTTCCTGAGTTGCTCTTTGTTAACAAGAGCTTGGATATGACCCAGTAGCTGATCAGTACAGTTACCTGGACATTTGTGCAGCATGTGTCCATCCAAATGCTCCACTCAACATCCTCTCCACAACATTCTGCACCAGCTACAGCTTCAGGACCAAATCCAAGGGAAGCCCCACATAGAATGCATTACAGTAGACCAATTGTTAGGTTACCAACACATAAATCACAGTGACTAATCTATGCCTGTCCAGGAAAGAGTATAGCTGGTGTCAAGGCTGCCTCAAGTCTTAGCTCACAAAAGACCAACGCCTCTGTCTTCTTATATACAAAAGTGTTTATTGCAGTTCATGGTTTGCTTGACATCCTAGGCGCGCAGCCTTACGTCTCTTACGCTAGACCGCCGAAGTCCCCTCTGAGTCAGTTCCTCCCCTGCACCAATTTAAGAGACTTGCGCTGCTCCACCTCTTTCTCTCCTTCCTTTTCCGCAGGGTCCTTCTGCCCACTGGGGTTTCGCCCCTCCTGGATTCCTCTGATGCGGAATCCCCAGACTGCTCTTCCCCCCTCCTGCGGGCTTTGGGACCTGGCCCCTCCTCCGGGCTCCCTGCACTTCCGCGCGCCTCTACATTTGAACTAGGCGCGCGCGCCCAGCCTCTAACTTTCCTGTTGACAGTTACACTACTCCCATCACTGCTCGCCTCCCCTTCCGGGAGGGCGGCTGCTCTGACCCCCCTCCTTTCTCTGCTGCTGGAGCTGCTTCCTCTGACACACTGGAAACTCCACCCCCTTCGCTGCACTCTGGTGGGGAGGCTGGTCCTGACGCCCAGCTGCCACTTTGGGATCTTCCGCTGGCACCCTGCTCCTGACACTTCCCCCCTGGGGCTCCCCTGGCCTTGACCACCGGCGCCCCCTTCTGGGAATCCTCTGATTCGCTGGAAAGACTCATGGAATCTCTTGAGTCATTGTCATCCTCTTCCTCGCTGGCTTGGAATTCCTCCCCCTCGCTCTCCATCTCCTGCCTACCCTGTGCCTCTCTCCCTGAACCCCTGACAGCTGGTATATCACCCTAAACTGATAATAGACATTCCTTATCACAGAGGTCACTGCAGCATTCTATGACAAAGATGGATCTAGAAGCATCCCCAAACTATGCACCTGCTCTTTCAGAAAGAGTGCCACCCTTTTCAGCACTGGTGAACTCCCTAACTCCTGGACCTGGGAACCATGCTCACAAAGTCCCCATCTTATCAGTATTCAGTCTCAGTTTGTTGGCTTCATCCAGCCCACCACTGCATCCAGGCACTGGTTTAAAGCTGTCACAGGCTCTCCTGGTTCAGAAAGAAAGCTGGAAGTCAGAATACTGATGGCATCGTGTCTCAAATCTCCTAATGACCATTCCCAGTAGCTTAATATAGATATTGTACTAGGCAGATTTCAGGATAAGATAATGTCCTGTGGCACCCTACAGCACAACTGTGGACACATAAACCCCCAACCCTATTCTCCGAACCTGACTCTGTAGGTCAGAGTAGAACCACTGCAACACTGTGCCACCAATTCCCAACTCACAGAGATGATCAAGGAGGATATTATGATAAATGATACTAAAAGTTTCTGAGAGATCAAGCAGGAGCAACAAGGTCACAATCCCCCCATGGCTCTCCCATACATCATAATGGCAAATACTGATTCTGCCCCCAAACCAACCCTGAACCCAGATGAAAATGAGTCATGATGTGTGTCTGCAGCTGGACTGCCATGACACCTTACCCAGAAAAGGTTATTTGTGACCAGACAGTATCTGTCAAGTACCTCAGGCTCCAGAGTGGGCTTCTTTAAAAGCAGCTACACTACTGGCTCCTTTAAGGTGCCAGACACATGCCTACACACACACACAGAGAGAGAGGGGGGGGGTGGATTAGAAGAAGAAGAGAAGAGTTTGGATTTGATATCCCACTTTATCACTACCCCAAGGAGTCTCAAAGAGGCTAACAATCTCCTTTTCCCTTCCTCCCCCACAACAAACACTCTGTGAGGTGAGTGGGGCTGAGAGACTTCAAAGAAGTGTGACTAGCCCAAGGTCACCCAGCAGCTGCATGTGGAGGAGCGGAGACGTGAACCCGGTTCCCCAGATTACGAGTCTACCGCTCTTAACCACTACACTACACTGGCTCTCTTTGGACTCACCTGGCCTACCCCCTTCAGATAGCTCAAATTAGTCATGATTAACAGGAGAAAGGGGAGCATGTTGTGGGCCAAAGTGATGCAAGTTCCTTGTGCATATCCTCAGACCTCATCAGGGAAGATACTGCTCTTGGCTCTGTAATAATGGAAGTATTCAACTCAACATGGAGAGGAACAATTTTATCCTCATAGTGGATTGTCACAGCTGGCCCCCTCACTACATGGAAAAGTTCTGCTGGCTATTTGTCTCTTTGCCAAAATTAAATTTTCCAGACACACATTTTTTAAAAGCCACACATACCTGCAGTTACCTTATTTGACCTAAAGGCGAACATATTATCAAGGCTTTGAATCTCATCACAACTGATTTACTTACTAAACAACACCTGGAACCTGGAATGGACAGTTTTCATGAAGCGTTAAGTTCTATTCTGTTTTCTTTCAAAGTTAAGCAATACCACAAGATGAGATCCAAAATATTTTTTTCTAGCATGCCCTGAGGCAAATCTGTGGTCTGAATAAGAGAAATGAATGTTTGCAACCCAGCAAAATGGAACTATTTCTCTCAGAGAACTGCAGATAAGCGTGACAATAACTGTGAAGAGATAACTGAAGAGCAAAGGGTAGATCCTCTCATCACTTACAGTCCTTGAGAAACATCAGTCTCACTTAGATGAGCTGTTTAGACAAGTACTATAGTAGGCTAGGGAATAAAACAAAGGAGAAAATATTTTACCCCTAACAAAAGAAGGCAGGCAATTTAGTACTGTAATAACAAAAGAAACATTTTGCTGTTAAGGGAAGCACAATTATTTTTGATTTGGCTGCACTTCATAAGCTAGATACCCAATCTACAGCACAGCTATATCCTGGTTATCATTACTGATATAGAAAGCTTACATTAAAGGACATAATAGAGCTGAACTATGCATTTAACCACAATATTTCACAGGAAACCGTGATTACCTCCTGGATAATGTTTGATTATACCCCACACCAGTTTAATAAATGAAAATAGTAATCATACCATGAAACTTCGTTCAGGCCATGCTTACTTGCCTTCCTACTGCACAGTCATGTGCCAAGTTTAAATTATGTAAGGCTTTAGATGCAGCAGGGATGGGGAACCTGTGGCCATCCAGACGTTTTTGAACTTCCAGCCAGAATAGTCAATAGCCAGAGAAAATGAGAGCAACATCTGGAAGGTCCCAGGTTCCCCATCCCTGATATAAACA